AGTGTATTCTGATCAATATCATTCATAAAGACACAGTGTATTCTGATCAATAATTAATGAAGATAGTGTATTCTTTTTTTTTATTTCTTTTAAAAAAAAAAATGTATAGACATGTATTTATTGAGTTTTAACAGTTTACATAAATACATGTTAATACATTTAACAAAGCATATAACAGTCAAACTATAAAAGAATCCACTCCCCCCACCCCAAAGGAAAAATAAATAGTTAAAAACAAAACAAAATGAAAAACTGGGTCACGACATGACATAACCATATATCGAATGCAAAGTGTAGGACAGTCAGGTACTGGATTTAAGGTCATCTGAGAAATACATTTTAAAACTTAAAACAGAACTTTCGTATCTCAGGACAGTCCCACAGACAGTGAAATAAGGTGCCCTTTCTGACATTGCATTTAACACTGATATCAGAAATATTTGGATTCATCTTATTTAGTGTTTCCGGAGTAAAGTTCTCATAATCCAATTATATTGAATCAGTTTGAGATGGGTATTTATTGTTAGGAGTTTCTCTCTCCAGTCCACCTCTGAGATATCTTTTTGTAAGTAATTTATCCATTGAGTTTTCTTATGCTCAGTAGTCTTTATGGTTTTTCACCTGAATGTTATGGAGTAAGGATATCTGACCCTTGCCAGTACAATTATTCACTGCTAGGTTTTCTAACATGGACAAGGGGGGTGTATATAGGAGTGCGTCTGTGCATAAACAAAACTCCTTAACTGTAATTATTTAAATAAGTGTGTTCGAGGTATATCATATTCAGTTCCTTAAATGAAGCTAGTTTGCTTTCCTTATATAGATCCTTTAAAACCTTGGTCCTTTTTGCCAGGAGAGAAGTTATCATTCCCCCATATTGGTGAAAAGCCTGAAAACAAAGTAGATTCACCAAGAAATGACTGTACATTGTGCCAGACATTAATTGTGTTTTTCACAGAGGGGTTATCAGTGAGCCACTTCAGTTTTTTGACAGACGTAGAGTATAAATAAGTGTCAAGTTGCTGGCCTTTAGTGCAGATACTTTCAATTTGTACCTATGGTAAGTAAGGTTCAGGCGAAAACCAGTACATTGCAGCTCTAATTTGTGCAGCCCAGAAATACCATTGTAAATTGGGTAATTGTAACCCTCCTCTTTCATAAGGCAGGTAAAGAAGTGACAGTCTCAACCTTGACCTTCTGTTATTCCAAATAAACTTTGTAAACAGTTGCTTCATTTTTGAGAAGAACTGTGGCGGCGGGGGTAAAGAGGTGGATTGAAATAGGTATAAAAACTTTGGTAGTATATTCATCTTGATTACATTTATACGTCCTAAAAGGGAGATTGGCATTGATGACCAGCTATTCATGGATTCAGTTACTGTAGAAATCATAGGATCATAGTCACAGGATACTAAATTTTTAATGGTTGGGGTAATGGTGATACCAAGATATTTAAATCCATTTACCGCATTATTGAAAGGGTGGTTTATCACCGGATTTAGTCGCTCCCGCTTATTCAAGAACATGATAGAGGATTTTGTTTTGTTTACTTTAAAGCCTGAAAATTTTCAGAATGTGTCAATTAAGTTAGTCAGATTAAGAATTGAGTTATTAGGGGTTCTCTCCCTCGCATGCATCAAATTCAACACCCTTTTGACATTATGGAAAGCTTGACAGTTTTTCACAAAACCATTCTGATCTGGATTGATCACCGTCGGAAGCACCGGTTCCAGTCTTCTAGCTATTACTTTAGCGATAATCTGAGCATCTGTGTTAAGCAGTGAAATAGGTCTAAATGATGTGCAATTGGTAGGGGACTTATTGGGTTTCAAAAAAGGTGTTATCAGCACGCTCCTCAGGGAATCTGTTAGACGACCCTGTTGAAAGGCTTCCTCATACATAGCTAAAAGGGGTTCAATTAATTTATCTTTAAATATCTTATAGATATCAACTGGAAGACCGTCAGGGCCTGCGGCTTTACCTCCCCTCATATTGGTAATGGCGTCAGCAATTTCTGAGGCATCTAGTTTC